CCTCTTTTCGAAGAAGATGTTTCTATATTCAAGCATCACTTCTTTTTTCTATTCTTCAATATTGGACAAATATCCTTTACTTTTTGTCTCTATAGCAAAGACAAACACACTTTTCAAAACATTACAGTTCAAAGTATGTTATTTTAAAATAACGCTCAGTGTTTTTCCATAAGAAAATATACATTTTCATTCTTAGATCTATTATTGAGGACTTGGTTCCCATTTATTTACAAACGACTTTGTTAATGTGTAGTATGATATTATGGATCCTATCTTGTCTTTCATGAAGGATTAATTACCTGAATTAATGTTTAAAAACAATTGCCCGACTGCTATCAGCTTTTCCTAAAATAATTATTCATTATAGATCTACCAAAACTTACTACAAAACCCAAGCACATAAAATTGAAGAAGCGATTCTTGTCAAAACCATTAGAAACAGAACAAAAGTCATCGCTGGGATAAAAATATTGACAAAAACTGAATCCACAGCGCAAAAATCAACAAACCTACATGATTTAGCTCTTTTTTGAGATGATGATCGGATACATCTTCAGTTTTTGCATTAAGTTCAAAATCAGAAGCTCGAGCGCAGAGAGAGAGAGAGCAGTAACTTTTGCGTTAGGTTAGTCGTTGTTTGTTGTAAAAATATAGGGATATGTATTAACACAACGATTTTTACGGTAGCTGTAGCTGTTGTTGCTTTCGAGATATAGTTTACTGGTTTTGACAAGACTTGACCGCTTAACATGACAGGTACTTTGATGAGAAAGTATCGTTTGCTGGTTTTGACGAGACTTAACTACTTAAGCATATCTGGTACTTTGATGTTACACATCAAAGCTCTTAACCATAGCAGCAAGTGCGCAGTAAAAGCTCACCCAACACGAAGATGTGTGGCCTATGCGGAACTAATACTAGTGGTTGAGAGAGAAAGAGAGTCACTACTCGTAGGATTTTTTAGAGTGCCTTGGTTAAAAGTTGAAGCGGAAGTTTAAATCGCATAATAGGGTTTTGACTTTTGAGAGAGCTCGAGCCGAATCAATTTTCTAAGAAGTTTAGAGAAAGGAAATTTTGAAAAATAGTTGTGCCCCACCTATGTTATATGTACATGACATCGGCATCTATGATATGACCAGTCAAAAATATGAACCCCAAAAAATGATATCTAGATATGATACATTCGTACGATATATAAGTATCTACATAAATATATACGTGTGTATATACAAATATTAAAATCCGCGTGTTCACATTTGCATTTGTATATGTAATATTTTATGTCATACAATAATAGTAAAACATCAAAAAATATAAAAATAATTAAATTAATATTAAAAAAATTACTTTATGAATCTGAATTTCATTCATCAAAATTTCTTATAAACTAATGTAAGGTTACATAAGACCAATATGAAAAAAAACCTACAAAGTATTAGCTCATTATTATTTTAAAATATTGCATCCTTATTGTGTTGCTATTAAAAGTAGTCTTAATGCATTCATCAAAAGTACAAGCTTTTAAGACTAGTAAATACCAAATGATAGGACAAGGAAAAGTATAATACAATTCATGTTAGTTATGGCCAAAAAGATATAATGATAAATAACGTGAGTAGAATAAAGAAAAATTAAAGAAGAGAGATGAATATTTAGTGGTCCACAGGCTTGGAGAGGGAGAAGCTGATGGTCGATAGCTTGTAAAAAGAGAAAAGAGAAACTAGTTGGGGAGGGAAAAACCCTATAAAGTTTCATAACAGTTGAAATGAATTGTATTTTTTTATTTATGGTAACAATATCTTATAGAAATCATTATTTAACAAATAATAATATTTTTATTTTTGTTCTAAACTACATATTTTATTCTAAAATACTTATTAATTCTAAAATAAAATATTTTTCAATGAAGAATGAAGTTTCTAAAAAACAAAATGTTACTTTAAAAAAAAAAAAAAAATGTTTAAAAAACGAAACATGTTAATAGACACTTAATAGAGGTGTAGTAGATGTATCCAAGAAGCGTCAACAATCATGTCAGTGTCCGCCAAGTGTTGATACATAGGCAAATCCTAAGACATGCACGTCTATATTTCATTGGCCCCCACACTGTTATTGTGGTAGTTCTTTCATTGTATATATAATGGTATAATGAACATTTTCCTATCTTGTTACAAATAATATACACTTTTCTATCTTGTTACATGCAACATATTTTTTCCTATTTTATTGTGGGTGAGATTTGTTTAGAGCTGAGGCTCTAAACAATCAAAGTAAAGCACCTCTTTAAATATTGTTGAGAAATGTGGTTTCAATACTGAAAATCTTTATGATAGCTTCAAAATATATTTTCATCTTTAATTATAAAATTTAAAGCTTAAAAAACAGATAGATTGAGCAGATTTATGAAAACTTGAAAATCTTGTAAGTTGATGGTCCAAAAATATGTTATAAGATGCACTATTTCCAAAACTTGAAATCAATTTTTTTCTCATGTCCATGCATATTGATGTCCAAATGATCAATTTGAGCATCAAAACAACCTCTTCTAGTGAGATTTTTTAGGTGGGCTCTAATTTGATCGTTTAGAACCTCGGCTCTATATAAACTTTTTCCTTTTATTTTATGCAATATACCCTTTTCTCTCATGTTACATTCTTTTAAAACAAGGGTGTGGATTCTATAAGGATGCAACCTTAAACAGTCCAATTAAGGCACACCTCCAATTTTATCACAACATGTAATTTTGGTATAAAAAATTCTTAGGATTATCTGAAAATCTATTTTCATTTCTAATTATAAAATTTTAAATTCGAAAGGTGGTTAAACTCAAGTAGATCTATAAACATATGAAAATGGACGGTCTAGATAATGTGTTGCAAGATACACTATTTTTAAGACTCAAAATTATTATTTTTTTAAAATAATATTCATACATTTCGATGTCGAGATGATCAATTGGAGGGTTTTTTAACATTAAAACAACTTTCTCTAATGGATTTTTGAAATGCGTTTTTATTTTCACATGTTGCAACTCTATATAAACTTTTCCCTCAAAGAATAAAACAAGAAAGAAGAAGGAGCTATTGCCTTTTCAAAATCTCGGATTCTTTAATTTTGTTTTTATTGTTTTCTTCTCGAACCTTGTGTCTTACAAAACCACATGACGATTCTAAAAACACGTGACGGATGATTTTATATTGCTAAAGGTTGCACTATAAGTATCAGGAATTGTGTAAAGGAAATGTATACAAATACAATGAAGAGCAGATACAAGCGACCTGACTCTCAATTGTCAGCATCTGAAGGTCGAGATGAGGACTCATGTGGGTAGACCAGCCCGGCCCGACCTTGATCCTGGATAGCGATAGAATTACAGAAGTAAAAATGCAAACGTAAAACTGGTCCGGGCCGGTTTAAGGCCTGGTCCAAAAATTAGACGGTTCTTAATCAATCTTTTATTTTTTTGATCCACAGATTCCTATCTAATTTTTATTTTTTATTTTTTATTTTCGTTGAGGTTTGGTTATTAGTTCCTAGAGGTTACATCCCCAAAACTTGGGTCTAAAAAGTTTCCTCCCATGGGACCAGCAAAGCTTTCCACCTTACTGTTATGTTTTATTGCAGGTGTAACTTTTCAAGTTACTGCACGATTCCTCCTCCCTGTTCTCTGTCTAGAAAAATCCTAGGAAAAATATCCCCCCCTCTCTCCCCATCCCGAGCAATTTAAGGGTGGAGTAGGCCGGGCTGGGCCTGGTCCTGGTCCTTGTCCCCTTAGGGTTGGCCGGACAAGCCTTTAGGATTGGGCTGGAAACAATGAAAAAATAAGAAAAATAAAAATATGAAAAAATATGGGTTGGGTCGGATTGGGCCGATTTGGCCTTAGCCAAGCCGACTTTGGCCCTAGGCCGACCCTCGGGTCATCTCTGTGGACAAGCCCTACTCTTTTAGGGCCCATCTTAGCGGGCATTTCTCATTCCCCATAACTCCCTCTCTCGCTCTCTCTCTCAATTCCCTGTTGTTTTAGGCTTTTAGACTGATCAAAAAAATTAGTGATTTTTGTCCGACACATTATCACTCGGTTTGACCTGAGAATTGGTCACCCGTGCCCATTTTGTCAATATGTGGGAAATTGTTTGGATTTAAAAAAAAATCGTAATTTTGTTACACTAAGAAAGTTGTTTTGCTACAGAAAAAATGTTGATTTACCAATCCAGTCCGGTTTGTGTCCACTTCAGTATTTTCGTATATGCTTTTTTTGCCGGCTCACTATTTTATTGCTCAATATAATAGCTAATTGGATTGCAAATTTACCGATCTAGACCAGTTTTTAGGATGCCGATTCTGGCCACAGATCCGGTTTAGTGCAGGAGGCTGCAAAATCCGAGTCTCTGTGGCATCGCACTGAATAGAGAGAATCTTTTACTCAACCCGACAAAGACACTGGAATTCGACAAACTACAGAGAAAACCATCAATATTTCAGGCCAAAATGAGAGACAGAGTGACAGCTATTACTAATTGCGGACAAAAACCGGATTCACAATAAAATTAGCATAAAATGTACCCATTCTGAAACCATCATTTTCACTCTTTTTTTTTTATTTCTTTCCTCTAAATCACAGCCGTTCCATCAATGGTTTGAAAATGAAATGTGGATTTCTAAATGTCAAACTTCAAAATTTCCCTTACAAAGTTGAATAAAAAACCTTTTTCCTTTCCTCTGAATCACCCTCTCTCTCTCTTAAGGTGGAGAACTTTTGAGGAGAGAGATCCCGCCCTTTTCCCTGTAATAATAACTTCCTCTTTTAACTGATTCTCTGCAACTTTTTGGCCCTTTTTCCCATTAAGAAAAGCTTCTTTCTGCTACTTTTCGCTCGTCAATGGCGGCGGTCACAGGCTTCTTTCCTGTTTTTTCGAGCACCAATACTGTGGAAAATAAATTGTTTCATGGATTGAGATATCAGATGAAGGGATTCAACCTTTCATCCTCAGCTAGAGCAAGAACAAGAACCTTGCCTTCATCTTTGAAAGAAGCTTCCTTGGTTCATGGCTCTGATAGGCCTGAGTTGAAGAAGGTATCGCCTTCATCTTTGAAAGAAGCTTCCTTGGTTGATGGCTCTCATAGGCCTGAGTTGAAGAAGGTATTGACGGAAGGTGATGCTAGATCTTCGTTAGTTTTGGAGGATGAAGTGATGACGCCTCTGAATTTTAAAGATTATTTGGAAAGATACAGGGACTTCACAGAAAGTGGTGATGGCCCTCCTCGCTGGTTTACTCCATTGGAGTGTGGCGCTCCTATGAAGAATGCTCCTCTTCTGCTGTTTCTTCCTGGTGAACTTCATTTTTGTTTAATATATTGGTTTAAAAAATGCTGGATCGGCATGGAATCACCGGGTCTAACCCGTGAATCGGTCACCTGTGGGGATTAGAAAATCATCCGGGTCTAGAAGAGATTATGCGATTTTTTACATTAAAAAGCATTGTTTTGCTATATAAAATGGCTGATTCACCTATCGGGACTAGTTTTTGGCCCGTTCACTTTACTTGTTCGTATTTTTTTTTTTTGTCAGTTCGCTATTTTTTTTAAGCAGTGACGATTCAGTTCGCCGATTCACCGATCAAGACTGCTTTTTAAGATGCTTGATCCTGCCCTGGTGGTCTATCCGTTTTTTAAATCATTGGTTGAATATTTCTCTCGCATATGAATTTCATTAGAACTTATGCTGTATCTACTTTTTGATTCATTAGGGTGAGATTTGTATAAGGTGCCAACCATAAACAATCACAGTAAGGTGCACCACCCAAAATCTCTTTGTAAGATGTATTTTAGGCGTCGAAATTCTTATTATCGCGCTAAAATCTATTTTTCACCCCTTTTATGGAATTGAAAGCTTCAAAAAAATATTGTAGATCTACCAAATTTATGAACACTATGGTCTATATAATGTGTTACAAGTCTAATTACAAAATGTACTATTATTAATATTTGAAATTCAATTTTTCTTTCATATACCTGCATATTGAAGTGGGAGATGACCAATTAAAGGGTTTTCTAATAACAAAACAACTTTTTAGGAAGATTTTTGAGGTGCACCATACTTATACGGTATCAGGTTTACACCTTATGTAAATTTTTTACGATTCTTTATTATTTCCTGAATGCCGTATGACTGCTGTAGCTTGCCCGCCGTGTGGTTGTATTTTTGCCTTCCCTCTCTACCCCCGCTCCTGCCTCTCTTTCCTCTGAGAATTATTTTTGAATAAGACGCTTCCTTTTGGAGATACACAGTCCACTGATAAGATGTTTCATTTGCACTTCCTTAGCTGTTTCAAGACTTTCACTCTCTCCCTCTCTTGTGTATCAACCCAGGATTTGATCCCTGAGTCTTCAAATTGAATCCGGAGAAGGAAATGATCCCATTCACTTCGATAGATTCAGTTCTTGGGTGAATGATGTTGGTTACTGTAATCAATGATTCAATACTCGGCCGAGGCAAGTACTCGGGTCCAACTCGTGCCTCCTAAAAAATTCAAAAAGAAATGGTGAAAATATTGGAAAAGTATACAATGAGATTATTTATTTTTTTGATAGTGGTCACTATTAATCTTGATCATTAGATATGAAATTAGATGGCTTGCATTGGCCAAGCTCAAATTTTAAAAGAAATTTTTTTTAACTTTGTGGCTTATCCAAGCTTTTGTGGCTTATCCAAGCTTAAATTTCACATCGGATAGGAATAGGATGGTTATTCTAACCACCTTGTATTAAAGGTAAATGGTCCTAAACAATATTAAAAATATTATTGACCATGGAGCCATCGTATAAAAATTATGTGAGCAATTTGGATATCTTTTACAATGATGTATGAGTTTTTCTTGTTATATGCCTTATTTTTTTTATTTTGGATTTTTCCGAAATATCTCCGACCATAGATCAGTTTTTCTATATCCATTTTCGTATTCTTTTAAAGCTCTTTGCACTTTTTATGTTGCACAATTCTTGTTGCATTTTTATTTAATTTTAGGGCCTTTTGGCCTTGTGTACTACTCGGCCGTTTACTAGTCTAGGGCCAGGGGCAAGGCCATGGCTCGAGGTGGGTAAAAAAAATTGACTGAGTATTTGTATTATACTCTGTTTTGACTGATTAATGGGTCCGCTGGTTTAGGTCCTCATATATTTCCCTTAAATAAAGGAAAAGTTGCATTGTCTCTGTTTTGACTGATTAATGGCTCCGCTTGTTTAGGTCCTGGTCATCTTTCCCTTAAATAAAGGAAAAGCTGTATTGTGTCCGTTTTGACTGATTATTGGGTCCGCTGGTTTAGATCCTGTTACATGTCTCTTAAATAAAGGAAAAGTTCGATTTGTAGTTCAGACTTCAGACGCATATTCTTGAATCATTAATCTATATCCAAATCCATGCCATCTTTCTTTGTTTCACTCTGCCGAATGACTCAGAAAGATGAGGTGTTTATTTATTTGTTCACTTAATGATTGGGAAAATTTTGATGGCTATCTCCATATATGGATTTACATAGAGATCTGATGTTTCTATACACGGAAATTAGATCATAGATTTCATTTCGTACATTTATATTAGAAGAATTTCAATTTAGAATTTGAATTACACAAAGTCTGCAATGAAAATCCCAAGTTCATTTCAAAACATGAAAAATCCATCTCAACTATGACCATGTGAATCATACTATACTTTCCCTTTTTTTGGGGGGGGGAAGGGGGGGTGGGGTAAATAATACTTTCCCTTGAATATATGCCCTAAGAGCTTCATTTTTCGTGAATGAGAATTATTCTTGCCCGAATTGCTTAAAAGTTAAAAGCATTGTCAAAAAACGCGGATCAGGCTCGGGGCACTCTTGGACTTGCTCGAGTCCTTAACGAGCCCATAAAGGGCTAAAAAGTTTCCAAAAAAAACAAAAAATAATAATTAGGAATCAGTAGAAAATAACTTATTGTATGTGTGCATCATTTATTGTATGTATTATGGGAAAAAGTTTATAGAAAATGGACTATGGAAAAAAATTTATATATAGCTTAAAACAATTCAGAAAATCTGAAATAAGGAAAAGAAAAGATAAATAGAGCACGTAATAAGAGAAGTCTACAAATCCTCATGAAAATATAAAAATTATATATAAATATATTTATACAATATTTATTAGTGATATACTAAAAAATATATTGAATTTTATGGTCTTTTTATATACAATATTTGTACAAGGAACTCACCTTCACAGGTGCCAAGGCCATGTTGGTCGGCCATGTCCAAGTTTCCTTAGCTGCATTTTTAAAACCTTGCTTTAAATGCATCAGCTGTTTGTTGATCCGAGCTTCTGTCATATTGGGCATGGTTTAATTCATTGGAAATATTGTTTGTGTATGATTGTCTGGTATCTTATACAATTTTCTAATTTTGGGACTTTATAGGGGAAGATGGCCTTGGACATGGGTTGATGCGACACCATCGAAGACTTGGGAAGTAAGCAATAATTGAATAAAAATAAATGGGGCCTTCTTTAATAAATACTTTTACTGGTTTAAAGTCTTATTTGAGGCAATCTTTTTGATGACTAGTGAGTGTAATCTGCAGGATTTTTGAAGTATGGTGTTTGCATATTCCAGTTTCTGACCGCACTCCCTTTGAAGGTCTCTCTCCTTCTTCATGCACCCGCAATTGCAAATACACAACCTTATTTATTGTTTCCTCTACTGTCAACCATGTATGTCATTTTGTGCATGAACATGTTGCCACTCATGTAAACAGTCGGGTGTGTATTCGATAGATGCCACTTGACTGTACGCATAATCATTCCTGTAATTTGGTAGTTTAGAGTGGGTGTGTCAAGGTTTCAGAGATTGCATGAGATATAGACTTCTTCTTGGTTAACTATATTTATGTCACCTTACGAGAAAAACTGTTCTCAGGTGTTTAATTTTCGCGTGTTAAAATATTGTTCTTTTGTAACTAGTGCTAGAACTTGTTGCCATAGTTCGAATAAGAAGTCTTGAATCCTGATTCTTTCTTGGGTTCAGGACTCGTGAAAATTGTTGAAATGATGATTAAGTCAGAGAATTCATGTTTTACAAAGAGACCGATATTTCTTGTTGGAGACTCTCTCGGTGGATGTGTTGCACTAGCTGTTGCAGCTCGTAACTCTAAAGCGGACCTAACATTAATATTGGCCAACCCTGGTGAGTGAAAATATGATTAGTATTTTTAAGTGCCGTATAATCTGTAGCTTTTCGGCAAATGAATTGACAATCTGAGTTGTGGATGCATTATTTAGTCTCTTCTGACTTCCTGTGATATGCTAACTTAATTTAATCATTCCATCTAGCGAGCTGTTTCTGCAGGTCACAGTTAAAATATCTTCTCCCATTCTTGGATGCTATGCCTGACCATGTCCTTGATCTTATCCCTTATCTTAAGAGCTTGAACATAGGTATGCGCTGAAATTTGTTATTAGAGGTTATAAATTTTCTTTTCCCCTCTTTGAATAGTCAACTTTATGTATATGAAAGTAGAATGCAACTCAAAGCCCGTGATGAATATTGGATTAAATGCAAATAAGTACAGTAATTAGTGGATATGCACAAAAGAAAAAGATGAGGGTGACATATCTTGCTCTATGAGATGCTTTGGATTGGATGGTTTTCCTCCCTTTTATACTTCTTTTGTATGTCCAGTTCTGTATTGGTAAACTGGTTGGGAATGATTATCATTACTTTTGATTTTAAAAATTGCATGCTATTTTTTTTTACTGATGAATTCAATTGGTTCTTTCAGAAGGACCATGTTGTGAGTCCAGATTGGTAGGTTCTACATGTATGTCCCTCTGATGAATTCAATTGGTTCTTTTAGAAGGACCATGTTGTGAGTCCAGATTGGTAGGATGTACATGTGTATCCTCTGATTGTTGCATTTTCCTTACGGTCTTTTGAGAAGGAGACCATCTCCCGTTGTTGTTGACGTAATCTTCTAGGAAATTTATCAAAATATCCATAACAGATGAACAATTCAAGATTTTACCCATGTCTTTTAATTTAAGTTTGAAATGCCCAAAAAATATACATGGTCCATAGTTGGAATAGGTGCAAAAAGGTAACATGTCAAATATCTCATGGGTATTATGATAGATTTCCCTTACTTTTTTCACTTTGCTACCCAATCTTATGTAGGACCTGTAGCTATTCGACCAACCTGTCAAGGTATTGGTTGATGATAACTCCAAATAAGTTTTTATTGAGGGGGCATTGGAAACAGGAAAGATAGGGAATGAAAGCGGATTAGAAAGTCATATATTGCGAACTGAGATACAGTAAATGAGCCAGCTGACTTTGATGGCAATCAGCCATCGATTATCACTTCCATGGACTAAGATTGATACACATGTGACCGATTTAGATCAGTCACTACCCAAATTCAATTGCATAGATGCCTCGTGAAGGATAAGGATTCGAGCTCATGTATCAAATATGAGAACAGCATTCCACTGTGTGTTTTTGTATATTTCACATGTATGCCATATTGGGTTGAAAATTTTTTGGTTGATTTCTCTCTGGGATAAGATTCTTCTTGTTTAGTTGACATTAAGTGGAACATGAAACAGATTATCATGTTTTAGAGTAGTGATACAAGATTATGTTACCCCAAGTCCAAATTAGAATTATTAATACTCTAGTCCAAATTACAATTATTAATACTTTATTTTGGAGGTACTTAAGTTTCAACAAATTGTGGATAATCAAAATATATCTGTTTTATAAGCATCTAATATGTGTTTAATAGTAGCTTCTTCACATTAATCGTGCATGCACATTTCCTTTTCTTCAAGATGTTCTATAAAGTAGCTTTAGTTGCATTCTTAAGGATGTTTCAGATCATATTGGTTGTTGCAAATTGGATGCTCTGTTGTACTCAATTATGTGCAGTTTTCCATTTGGCTTGGTGATGTCTTTTCCTATGTGTTTACTCACTTTCAGGTGATCCTGTTGGGATGGCAATGAAGAATGTAGAAATGGGTGTTACTTTGGGAGTTGGCCAAATTTCACAGAGCCTTTCTGCACTTTTTGCTGATCTTTTAGTGAGTACATCCTTAGCAAATACATTTGTTTACCAGTGACTTAATGCTTCTCATCTATCAAAGATTATGAAGAGTGAAATAATATTGGAGGCTTATCCCTTAGTTAAATGATTGCATTAGTTTCTTATGTTAATGAATTGGCTTATTTCTTGATGCTGAGAAATGTCTTGATTTTAGTACATCTAAGCATGTTTGTCTAGTTACCTCATTATAATTTGTACAGTTCAAAACTTAACCATATAGCATGACTGAAAATGGATTTATTGATTCCTGATTCATGCTATAAGAGGCCTAATTTATTTTTCTCAGCAATGCTATTTTTTGAAACTTTATTGTCCTTTTGAGGTGTATCAAGACTGCTAACTTTCTAGATGACCTTTATCTAATTCATATCAATTGCAGAATTTACGAGTTTTATTATCGAGAGAAACTATCTTGTGGAAGATAAGACTGCTGATGTCAGCTTCCTCCTATGCAAATTCTCGTCTCCATGCAATTAAGTCTGAAGTGCTTGTACTTGCCAGGTGAGTATCCTTTTCATTTTCTTATTTGAGTGTGTATATATGCATGCATGCATGTGTGGATGCACATGTGTGCATGTGCGTGTGCATATGTGCATGATATATTTTTGTTTACATATGTATGTACACATATAAGCATGCCACACACACATATTACTGATGGAAGATTAACATATTAGTGTTAACATTATCAAAAAAAAAAAAAAACATTAACATAGTAGTGATATTGGATTTTGTTGTACTTGTGCGATTATATTTCTTGATTTGTGCTTGTGCAGTTATACCTTGTGACATTTCTTATGGATTTCTGGACCAATGCCTTAACGAATTCTTTGGTTTTCTTGCCCTTGGTTTAGATCAGATCATTGCCAAGTACATGTTTCATAATAAATTTTAACTTTTATGTAGTATTATTCCTTTAGCATAGACATTATCAATTTTGTTAAAAATGTAAAACAATAAGACAAATGCCTTCAGTTTTGCATGATAGGGCTAAACATTGTTTGAAGCTATAAAGTTTTCCCTTGGTGCCCCTGGCCGGGGGGGGGAGGGGGGATGTGGTTTTTGTTTTCGCTAAAACTATAAAAATTGCAGAGAGATACCTTGTTCAATCCCTGAGTCATCCTGCTTTGGCTTAGCCTGGCTCTCAAAATAAGTCCTTCCTTTCATTTATTCTTAGAACCATCTTGTTTGTTTATGATTTTGAGCTCATAGTGTTGGAAAATGGTTTAGGCACATGGCTCAACAATAGCTAGTATGGTTCAAACCACATTTTTGGGTTGATGGACCTCCATAGAGTGGCACATCTTCACACAATTTTAGCTTATCTTTTTTCGTTATCCTGTTTTCTTCATGTTCCTTTTCCCATCTTGAATTGCTTATCTCACTGGCATCTTGCATTATTTTGAAAGACAATATACCACACCTGTCATGGATGCATTTTTCAGGACATTCTTTTTTTTTTCCCCTTACTCATACTCATGCATCTGTCTTTCTGTCACCTATTATTTCTTCCACTGTATTTACTTTTTCTTTCCGGTATGTTTCTTTGATTTAATAGTTGCCCCTTTCTTTATTTCAATTCCGGCACTCATGTCTAAGCAGGACCTCACCTTAGGAATATGTCATATCCAAATGATATAAAAACAAGCTATTTTGGTGCTTATTCCACTGCTGCCACCTCCCAAGCCTTTCGGAGAGAGCTGGAGACGGCTGAAACGCGCTGAACCTTAAGAGAGAGACTTTCTCTTGGCGATCGGCTCATCGGCAACGACAGATAGGTGTATTGATCTTTCTGACAGATAGAATGATTGAAGGGTTCTTAAATTATTGTGTTTTTCCTTTTTCAACCTTCTACTTCCTGGATTGACTGGGTAGAGCTTCGACATGGCTGGTAGTAGGGCCCTTGCTGTCTTCCTTAGTGCAGTAGCATCAGTGTGTTGTAGCTTTCATTCAAGCAGCTTGTTTGTCGTGCACTTTAATTCATGTATAAATTAATTGGAAACTTCAGAAAAAATTTGGGGAACTTGCAGATTTTATATTATTCAAACTATATGTATCCTTGTGTTTAGAAATATAAAAAGGAGCTTAGTCAACATCACCAAATAAACACTTTTGATCTTGGGTTCTTAGTTTTCACTTTTCATCACAGTCGTCTACAAAATTACACATTATCTGATCTATCGCTCACAATGATATAGACAGAATTTGTTATTCTTCTTTCATAAAGTTCAATTTGCTGGAAACTTTCTTGTATCTAAAATTAGAGTGACACTGAGAGATACTAATGTCTCCTCTTTTAGTGGTAATGATCAACTGCTACCGAACCAAGATGAAGCTGAAAGGCTTTGCCGTGTACTACCCAACTGTAGATTTCGTCATTTCCCGGATAGTCACCGCCTCATCTTCCTGGTATGTATGGTAGATTATCTACACATTCACCCAAAACAATAGTAGATTATCTGCATTGATTTTCTCAAGAATTTTCTTCTGATAAAGTGATGATTGTCATGTTACTAAAGATTGAAGCTTTACAACTGGGAGGATCCCATGCTTTGTTACACTGTAGTCGTAGATACACTCAGATAATGAAATACCTTTTTTGATGGTTTGGGACTTTGGGTCTTGCAACTGTAAGAGATTTTAAGTTTCCAACTTTGCATGAAGGGGAGAAATATATTAAGTTTCTATGAGTTTATCCTAATGCAAATTGGGACTGACCCCTCATTCCATGAATGAGGGAGTCCATTTCTTTCAGGCCTCAACTGAACTCATGTGACAAGGCCAAAGTTAACAAGAAGCATTTTATTGCAAATGAATGTTTTCATTCTGCTATACGCCTAAAAAATATATGCTTTCATTCTGTCCATAACTCTGTATTTACTTGTGGTGACCACATCTATCAGACCATTATTTTAAAAGGTTACCCAACTCAAAAGATCTTTAGTATGTCAGATATATCAGAGATGTTGGTGTCTGTAATCAGAATAATTACCATTGTGGACCATGGCCTTTATACAATGATACCAGTGGTTTTGTAGAGTGTGATGTGTTCTTGATCATGATTGCGATTTAGAGATGACCTTTCCCCCATTTTCTTGCATCATATTCAGGAAACTGGCAAAGATTATGGAATAAACTTTGAATGTACGCTTTATATGATTGGTATTAAAAAGTTGTTCTTCAGAAGTGATATTTGAACTTTAAAAAGATTATGGAATAAACTTTGAATGTACGCTTTATGATACTTTCTAGTATTCATGTCATGTGTTATGTTTATAACCTTGAGATCGATCAGTGACAGCCCCAACACTGAGACAGGAAGGAGATGTTGATTTGGTCACTATTATCAAAGGCACTGGTATATATCGCCGCTCGACACACAAGGACTGGGCGTTAGATTTCCTCCCTCCTACACTCAATGAATTTAAGTATGCTTACGAAGTACTTAGGTATGGCTGGATTCTTTTGATATATATCTTGCTGGGAGAACCTGATTGGTTGAGGGTTCCCTTTGGTTTTCATTTTGATAGTTGTAATGCTCTTGTTTTTTTGTATGCAGATGGGTTATTCATGCAACTGATCCTGTGGTATTTTCAACAATGGAAGATGGAAAGATAGTGAGGGGTCTCGCAGGGATACCTCAAGATGGCCCTGTTATACTTGTGGGGTATCACATGTTTATGGGATGGGACCTAGGTCCTTTTGTTGGAGAGCTCTTGATGGAGAGAGGTGTTTTTGTTCGAGGACTAGCACATCCTTTTATGTTTGACAAGCATGCAGAAACCCTTATGCCTGATCCAGCATCATTTGACTTTATGAGGATTATGGGTGCAGTTCCTGTGTCAGCAACCAACTTTTACAAACTTCTGTCTAGTAAGTCTTTTGTTCTATTATATCCTGGAGGCGCACGCGAGGCTCTTCATCGAAAGGTAATTTATTGGTACGCTGATTGTGTATGTGTTCTCTATATGATAGTTAACGTAAGATTTATTCCCAATTGATAGTTTATTCAACTCTATTTAATGACGTAATGCTGAATTTGTCTTCTAAATGATCTATGTTGACATTGTAAGAATGATTATCACTATATGTCCGTTAATGTCAGTACTTAAACTAAGAATTTGCAGCTGACATGCATTATGTGATCTTTATCATTTTTGGCATGTAAATATTTGAATTGAGTACCATAATGGATTCTATTATTATTATTTATCATCAAATTGTTTGATAACCGACACCATATGGACTTTAAATCTATGTTGCAGAACAGTTTGAAAATTTGGAAACTCTTTTGAATGTCTCTATGGTTGACAAAAGTGTCTCAAAACCAGCCGAGTCTGACATTGACTCGGCAACATGCCACCTCCTAGTGAAAAACCTTAGGAACCGACTGAGTCTCACCTTTTCCTGAGTTTTTTTTTTTCATTCACTTATTTATTTTAAAAACTAGTCCGTGTTGGACTTGGGCTCTGCTGAGTCTGACCTGCTGACTGGGACTAGGACCCTGCCCGGCTTAAGGCCTGATCCTAGTTTAGAGACATTTGTTGACACCATTAGAGTCAAAATTTTAAATATAGTTAGAATTTTTCCATAGCAGACAATTATTGTTATATATGTAGAGAGGTGGAGACGGTCTGGTGTTTTCTCTATCACTTTGAGCATGTGAAGAGAGTTGTGACTCATTTTTTGATCTACCACTTTGATCCTGTGAAGAGAGTTATGACTCATTTTCTTGACCTATTTGGCATCTTGTGGATTGCTCTCGAGTGTACACAGAGGCTTGCCGATCATTTCACCAGTCTTTAGGCCCTTTCCCATAGAGGTGCCAGATCTTGTATGTTGTCTATTTGTGATATTCCGGAGGATGAAGGAGTAAGAACAACTTTTATGGATTTTTTGACTTCGTGACGACAATAATGGTGAGAATCTCAAGAGGGTTCTCATGTTTTTGGTGAATTTTAAAGGCGTATGGTATGAGATTTTTATTTTTTTCCTAATATAGATATGATGTGGTATATGTTGAGTAACATGAAGTTTATGGTGAATTTTTCGAATTGTAGGGAAGGATAGTAGAGGATATGAAGGGGTACATGGGGATATGGGTTTGGTGAAAAAAATGAGATGGGTGAGGCTAATTTAGATTTTGCTATGGACTATGATCTAGCAATAACAAATACTTACATGAACATTTAATAACCTATAAAAGGGGATTATATAAAATGCTAGGTAGATTTCTTCCTATTAAGAAGATAGATCAACTATTGTGTAAAGACTGTAAGCTTATCCCAGGAGAGAGTTTGACTATTCAACATAGCCTTGTGGTTATGGATGTCTGCAAAAAGCCATGGAAGAGAAGGGGTAAAATTAATAGGTGTTCAAGAATTAGGTGGAATTTAAAAAATGAGAAAGTAAACTTATTTAAAGATGAATTAGTTAAAGAAGAAAAATAGAACTCTGAATATGAGGTCAATGTTATGTAGAATCAGATGGTTGACTGCATTAAAAAAGTGGCAACATAAGTTTTAAGAGAATCTAGAGGGAAAAGAAATTCCGATAAGGAAACTTAGTGGTGAATGAGGTTCAAAAGGCCATTAGCGAAAAACGATTATATTAGAAAAGTCGGCATTATAATGGGAATGATCAAAACTTTAGAAGAATATATAAAGGTCAAGAAAAAATCTGAACAAATAGTAAGGCTAAACTTAAGACATATGATAATCTGTATAGTAAATTGCGAATAAGAAAATACGTATTCAAATTAGCAAAAATGAGAGAAAAAGTGCAGGGATTTAAACCATATTAAATGCATTAAGAGTGAGGATCAAAGGGTCTTGGTGAAGGGTGCAGAGGTCAACAAAATGTGGAGAGTTTATTTTAAAAATTATTAAGGGTCGAACACAATGAGAACATAGTGGTCGAAAGAACTGTTGACATAAATGAGGGTGGAGGTTATATATACATTCGTAGGATTAGGATATCAGAAGTGAAAGAAGTTTTGAAGATGATGAAGATAGGAAAAGTTTAGGACCAGATGGTATTCCGATAGAGGTTTGGAAGTGCATGGAAGAGCTTGACATTGACTGCCCAACTAAGCTATTCAACAAGGTGTTTACAAAGAAATGCCAGACTAATGGAGGAAAAGTATTATGGTACCGATTTACAAGAATAAAGAGACATACAAAATTGTGCGAACTATTGAGGGATCAAACTTATGAGCCACACTATGAAGTTGTGGGATAGAGTAATTGAGCAATGACTAAAACATGAAACAAGTGCATTAGAAAACCAATTCGGTTTTGTGTCAGGGAGGTCAAACCGAGGCTATTTTCCTATATAGGCAACTAATTGAGAAGTTTAGGGTGAAGGGAAAAGACCTCCACCTGTTGTTTATTGATCTAGAGGAAGCTTATGATAGAGTACCTAGAGATTTAATTTGGTGGGTGTTGAAAGAGAAATGAGTCTTAATACGAGTGAGTTTTCAATAACAATAGGTCTACATCAGGGGTTAGGATTAAGCCCATACGTCTTTATCTTAGTTATAAATGACTTAATAGACACCTACAGGATGAGTTACCATGGTGTATGGCTTCGCGAAAACATACTTTTGATCGATGAGACCCAAAACAATGTCACCATAAAGTTAGAATTCTGGAGGGAATTAGCGGGACTAAGACAGAGTATATAAAATGCAAGTTTAGTAATAATAGGAGTAGAGACGAAGAAGTAGTTAAGATTAACGACCAAGAAATACCAAAAAAAGTGCACTTCCAATATTTTGGGTTGATAATCAAGGAAAATGGAGAGATTGAAGAAAATGTGACACATAGAATTAGAGTTGAGTGGGCGAAGTGGAGGTGTGCAACCGGAGTTTTATGTGACCGACGCATTCCAATGAAGATGAAGGGCAACGTCTATACGACAGTTGTAAGACCATTTACTTTATGAGGTGGAATGTTGGGCGGTCAAGAAACAATATACCTATAGAATGAGTATAGCTGAGATAATGATGTTGAGATGGATGAGTGGAAAGACAAGAAGAGATAAAATTTGAAATGAATACATTCAGGAGAATTTAGGCGTGACACCAATAGGTGATAAGACAAGAGAAAGTAGACTTAGGTGGGTTGGCTATGTGTGTCGCAAACCCTGTACAACACCTGTTAGGAGATGTGAGTTAGTTTAAGTGAAAGGCTCAAAAAGGGAAAGGGGAAAGCCCAAAGGACACGGTTGGAAGCAGTGAGAAAAGATCTGGGGATTTATGGCCTCATTGTGGGTATAGCTCTTAATAGAGCATACAGGCGGATCAGGATTTGTGTTGCCGACCCCAAGTAGTTGGGAAAAGGCTTCAATGATGATGATGATGGTAAATTTTGGAACTAGCATGAGTAGGGGTTGAGATGTCCTCCAAGGATTTAAAGCTTAATTTTGATCATAGTTCTTTTGCGTATCCTCAATCAGCAAGAATGTGTTATGACTTTGAATAGCATATTAGTACTTGTGGGCACATCACTACTGCTCATCTTATTGGGCTGATAATCTGTATGTTTTCCTTCTCTTACCCTTCTTATTGAAAGTTTTGGCCTTGTCAGTTGAGGAGTGTTGAAAGGAGAGGTTGGTCTCTTAAGACTTTAGGCGTTCCCCATTCTTATAATACAGCTTTTTATTGAACATATTGTGCTCATTTCAGAATTAGGGCAAGTTAGTTATTCTCAAAAGGGAAAGCAGGAATTAAGAGAGTTAATAAGTCATTCCATGAATCTTAGCGACTTTGGAAAACTGATACTTCTAGATGCCAAAATTTATCGGATAAAACTAGTTTAAAATTGTTCTTTCTTTTTGTGCAAACTGGTGCAATTTATTGCTTTCATTTGCACTAACTTTTTGTTCTTGTTTGTTTTATTTTTATAATTCATCTATTGGCAAATGACAGTCATGACGGACTAGTGATCTCTAAGCCAGGCCTTTTTGTTATGTGAAACTACCATCTGCACGTCTCCTTTGGTATATTAGGTCTCTTGTATATGATTTTAATTTATACCAATTGATAGTGTGGTGGTTCTATGCACTTTCCGCCTTTAAGGAGCTTTCTTTTGAAGATTTCTAATTTTCAACAAAATTAATGTTTCAGGGTGAAGAATACAAGCTTTTCTGGCCAGAGCATTCTGAGTTTATTAGAATGGCTGCCAGTTTTGGAGCCACAATCATACCTTTTGGTGCTGTTGGAGAAGATGATGTTGCTGAAGTATGGTTTTTTGCTGATATTGTTTATTAGCATCTGTTGTGGGCCTAGCATTCATCTCTATTTTGTCATTCAGGGAAGATTTTGTTTGTTTTGGAAAATGGCGCCTTTTGCTCTCCAGCCTGCCATTAAAAACATAAAACTCTATAGTTCATGGATGGAGACATTGACTTTCTTTTCCTATAACAAGAAATACATTGTTTATGAAGTCAGGAATCAACCTTAGCTCATAGAGAGCTGACGTAACAGATATGACTGCCCACAAACTTATACTGATCATCTCCAGTTCACTATGCTTTTAGTCAACTTTCCAAAAAGTTAAACTGTAGTTTAGAGTGTTCCTTTTAATGGTTCTCTTTGTGCGAATAAAATATTGCTGGTGAAGTACAGACACACGTACAGATGTGGTCTTAACAAATTTCCTGTGGAATCCCTACAGTAGATTAGACCAGGAATTTTCAGTATGATATCTAGAAGGACACGGTTTCTATGAGTCCATGTAGAAATGAGTCACCTCTTAAAAATGTATTTTTGAGATGGATTTTTGGACCTAATTTTTAAGGAGATGTAATCTCTAACATGGAGATCATGAATATAAAAAAGTAAATAAATTTTGAAAATTAAGAATAATAGTTCTATTAAGAAAACATTGGGACTGTTAGTTTCAATTCTTTTTAGATGGACCACCTATTTGCATCCATCGATGGATGCTTTAGACCTTGGGGACCGCAAATGTAGAAGTGCGGTCCCTGCCGCATGTAACAATTTTCCTATCTAAAATATTGGTCCTTTAAAAACATTGAAGGCTTAAAGTACTCTTAACTTGTCCAGTAAGTTATTCAATAAATGAACGAGCTTTGTTGTTGATAGAATGTGGATCTATTTGCTTAGGTATGCTAAACATTGTGAATGGAGAAACGGCTCAATCTAGGTTCCCAAGTCTCCAAGTGGGCCCTCAAGGCCACTCACCCCGCGACCTTCAAGGTGCTGAATCATAGGAGCCTATGGCATAAGCATCGAGGAGAGGACACTTATCGATTGTTTAGTTACTCGGTAATAGATGAGTACCCAGTTTTACTGAAAACAAACTCACCTATAAACATTCCGTACAACCTCTACAGCTTCACCACGACTTCTTGTGTCACTTCTCAAAATTGCCCAACTCCCCTTCCAAATATCTGCACACATCCAAGGATCAGTAATGGGGAAGATGTTGTAGCTACACCATCATGCAACTTGTTAAAGGATGGCTTCTAGTTTCAAAATTTTCCCTTCCTTTTCTGGTTGTAGACGGTTCATGTCAGGGGGTTGGGCTGAGAGGAAAATCTCTCTTCATCCTCTCTTGGCCCAGGGGGTTGGGCTGAGAGGAAAATCTCTCTTCATCCTCTCTTGGCCAATCTATATCTTTGTCATGCCACCAAACTTGTTCTCTCTCATACTCGAAAATATGTTAGACTTCTCTTACTTTCAGAAAAGGAAGGAATGGAAAGAGAACCCCACACTATATCTGTTATACTACATCTCTTATCCATTATGCCCATGTAGAAACATTGTATTTTTTTTTCTTGATGTAGCTATTGTGACTTGATGTGCATTAGTAACTTACTTTCCACTATTTAGTTAGTTATGTGCATTTGCTCACTGACATTCTACGATTTAACATTTGTTTTATGAATTACTCATTTGTGCTTATATTTTTGGCAGTTGCTCCTTGATTATGATGACCTGATTAAGATTCCGTATATAAGAGATCAAATTGAGGACCTAAATCGTGATGGCATACGGTTGAGGTGCTTGTCTTCTAGTATGATATATGGTCTTATATATAGCAATTTGCTCCTGCGTAAAACGTCGATTTTCGATATTATAAATGTTAGTGAGTTCATTTGGTAATTTTCAATTTGTGAAAAATTATTCTAGTATCATCACAAAGCACATACAACTTTATTGGACTGCTTTTACAAGTTCAAAAATTTTCACCATCTCTGGCTCAAGATTGTAGCTATTGTAGATTACACTGAGAAATCAAGATTAAGGAAAATGTCAGGCAAAAATATTACAAAAATGGCTATACTGTTGAGAGAATTATGCAAACAATCACATTAAAGTTTATAACTACTGCTGTGCTTCTATAAATACCTAATTCATATGGTTTGCACTACTCAACATTCCCATCAAATTAGAACCTCCAATGCTATGTACAACTAATTGTTTCCTAAGTATTCTTTCTATCTTATATTGATGATTTTGTAATAACTTGTTTTGCTAATAATTAATTGACTGCCAAATGAAATTGTTAAGTCTTTGACACGGTGGTAATGTATCTCGATGTGTGTGGTTTATGTCATTGAAAATAGAATTGGTAGTCATTGAATCAGCCCATTGAGTATTTACCCAGTTTCTAAGAAAAATAAAATGTCCAAAAAGGAATAAGAATCACCATTAAAAACAGAACAATGTTCTCAAAAACTTTTATTTTCTTTTGGAGCCTGCTGAAACATTTTTATGCTTATTATTTAATATATATAGTGGTATTGGAGCTTTAAAGTCTCCTAGAATTTGTTAAATTATGATTCAGATAGACAATTTCAATGTTCCATGATTCCATCAAACAAACAAAAATTAAACTATAAACCTTATATTGTTATCTGGATTCTGGAATTATGATTCTAGAATGCAATCAACAGTTCATGAACTTTCAGAAAAGGGGTGAGTCTAGTGACCAACACAATATCATTATTACATGTTAACAATTGAAAATTACATTATACAAACATTACAATATTTAATTATTTCTCAATCGTGGAGCTTTGTACTATGTAGTCAATGATCCTGGCCCTTCAGGTGCTGTTCCTGGCACTCCTCATTGTAATCATATTACCTGAACATTTGTCTCTGGCTGCCAAAATAACCAAGGTTACCTTATTAACTATCACTGCTCTTCATCATTGTTTCCCCAATCAATACTGTCACTGTCATATCCCTCACCACTATTATTGACTGATAATCGTGGAGGCCTAATTATATGTTCATTTCCGTAAGCCTTTATACTTGCATTGTCATCCTTGACATAATGTACTTCTAAGTGAGTGGATTGTAGTCTGTAATTCATTATTTATTTTCAGTCATCCATTTTTTGGGTAAAGAATAATCAAAACTTAACAACAATAAAAATTGTTATCAAAACAATTACAGATGTGATGACTTTGATATTCAACGGGCTTCACCACTTTTAGATAGTTTGATCCAAATTTGTCTTTGATTTTGCCTATTGTCCTTTTCTTTAGCCTGCATTAAAGTAAAACTTCTCATGGGCAATTTGATATTGTGAAAAGATTTAAAATGAGTTGGTTTATTCGCATATTCGAGTTAGTATATTAAATTGATACTCTTTGATCATAGGACTGGTGTTCCTGGGGAGGTGGGAAACCAAGACCTTTATCTTCCTGGAATGTTTCCAAAAATTCCAGGTCGCTTTTATTGCTTATTCGGAGGCCCAATTCAAACAAAAGGTATGGCCCAATCTATCTTTGGGATGCCACCGTGTCTCTCTATCTCTCTTCCTTCCCATATCAGTGCGTAGCTCTATCAAGGTACCAACAAAATAAGAGGTCCTACAGTTGTATAATTGATTCTTCTGTGCAACATTCCTCTCACTGAATTAATTATTTGCATTCTTTAGGCATGAAGAATGAGCTAAAAGATAAAGCGAAAGCACATGCGATGTATCTGCAGGTGAAATCCAAAGTCGAGAAACTAATTGCGTACCTAAAAGAGAAGAGAGAGTTGGATCCTTATAGAGGTCTATTACCAAGGCTCCTTTATCAGGCTACCCATGGATTCACATCTAAAGTTCCAACCTTTGAGCTTTGAAACTTGTAACAATAGTATATCTTGCTTTTGTTTATTCAACTTTTTTGTGATTGAAATAAAGGGTCATTATTGTGGTGCCCCTGGAGATGATATTAGCACTCTTATGAATAAATCACTAAGGCCCCATTCGGATGGGCTGTGTTTATGCTTGGGTACAATTTCCTAAGTAGAAAGGAGTGCTTTGGGTCTCAGTTTGGTCCACTCCAGCTTACTCTTGCTTAGCTTCCATTTCATAACCCCATTTATTGGGCCCATTTGGATACACTACACTCTCCCATTGAACAAATGGTCATGCTTACCTTTATGGACCATCTCAAAAATTGTAGCCTTTCTTACCTTTATGAACAATTTTCAAAAGAGCTTGTATACTATGCTACTGCAGGAGCACAACATCTACTCTCTCGCTCAAAATACCTGTTTAGGACTCTTTTAGTCTAAAATTTTGGGAACGACATATGAATTACTATTTGATTATTTTCAAAAGAAAATATTGGAATTTTGAGCTGTATAACCCTTAGATCTAAACCTTCAAAAATTAGACGGTCTCTATTCAATCTGGAGGCATTAGTTTGTTCTAGTATATTTTTGTTGAGACTATTATGTGGTTTATAGATATTACATCCCCAAAATTTGAGTTCTAAAAAGTATCTCTAACATATGTTTTCTCCAAGGGAGTAAATACATAATATATTCCTGTGGAAGTAGAAAGTCTTTTTACTTTTCAATAGTTGTAGTCATGCAGTGCTGAGCAGTGGTAGTCATATGTAATGTTTAGAAGATCATTGAGCCGGCCCCTGATTGGTTCTAGAGGGTCTAGATGTAGCAGAGGATCCTTACATGGACCCAGCTGTTGTTTATGTGTAAGACTTGGCTTATCCATGTGTCTTTGCCAAGTGAGCCAGGACTCATGGCACCCAACTATCCACTTTTTACCTATTATCTATATTAAAAAGAAAGAGGAAAAAAAAAACAGTTTGCTGGTAGCTTTTGGTAGTGCTTGGTTCCCACCTATTTTCTCTCTTTGTGTGTGTTCAATTTGTTGTACCTCCATAGCTTAGTTGCTTCGCTCAACCATTCAACAGTGTGTTGAGAACAGAGAAAATGTCAGACGAATGAAAAAAAAGTGTTGTGGTATCTATTCACAAGAACAATGAGATATCCATAATTTTATGAACTATCCAGGAATTAAACTTGTGAGCCACAAAATGAAGTTATAAGAGAGTGATTGAGCAATGGCAAAGGCATGAAAGGAGTATACCAAAAAATCAGTTCGATTTTATGCAAGGGAGGTCAACAACTGATTGAAAAGTTTATGGAGACGATAAAAGACACCCACGATGTCTTGATTAAGTTAGAGGAAGTACATGATAGGGTACCAAGAGACTTAATTTGGTGAGTGTTAGAAAATAAATGAGTCTCCATAGACTATATTGACATGGTTAGAGATATGTACGAATGAGTGTTAACTAGTTTGAGGAAAACTAGTGGAGAGACCGGTAAATTTTCTGTGTCAATAGGCTTACATCAAGGATCTGCTCTAAGCCTATATCTCTTTGTTTTGGTTATGGCTGAGTTAATTAAGCACATACAGGATGATGTATAGTTGTGCATGTTTTTGCTAATGATATAGTTTTGATTGATAAAACTAGAGGCATCGTTAACACAAAGTTAAAATATTTTGGAGGGATGCTCTAGAATCTAATGTTTTAAAATTAGCTGGGCTAAGACAGAATATATGGAATGCAAGTTTAGTAATAATATGAGTAAAAATGATGAAGTAGTTAAGATGGATGGCTAAGAAATATCTGAAAGTGATTATTTTGATATCTTGGGTCAACAATACAATCAAATAGAGAGATTAAAGAAGGTGTCATGCATAGAATTAGAGTTGGATGGATGAAGTGGAGATATGCATCCAGAGTTTTATGTGATCATTACAATACGAATGAAACTAAATGAAAAGTTTTATAGCATAGTTACAGAGCCAGCTATACTTTATAGAATAAAATGTTGGGTGTTCAAGAAACAATAGACCAATAGGATGAGTGCAGCTGAGATGATGTTGAGGTGGATGTATGGCAAGACAAGAAATGATAGATTTCATAATGAAAAAACATGTAATGGAATATAGGTGTGGCTTGAATAGACGATAAGATGAGAGAAAATAGATTTAAGTGGGCTGGTTATGTGTAATGTAGGCCTAATACAACACCGATTAGGAGGTATTATTTGGTTCAAGTGGAAAGCTTAAAATGGCAAAGGGAAAGCTCAAAAGGACATGGATGGAAGTAGTAAAAAAAACATGCTGACTTACGGTCTTATTGAGGAGTATGACCTTTGATAAAACAAAATAATAGAACATGATTCGTATAGCTAATCCCAAAAAATTGGGATAATTCTCAGTTGATGATAATGTATTTGTTTTGATCTTGTTGGGGGGTCATTCCCTAGGATTCACTCCGATTTGAGCTTTTGAATGTTTGCATGGATCAACTATGGACACTCAATTCAATTGCAGACTAACGGCTAGTGAATGTAAATACTAAATATTATCACAAAGTTGGTATGCATTGTGACCTATTTAAAAAAAATGAGAAAACTGTGTATGGAATACTTTATTAACTAGTGCACGTCTGATTTATCGCTACCACAAGGTGCCTTTTCTTTTCCAATTTGGAAAAGAAGCTGTTGTTTTCTAATGTTTTATTGTAAATTGATTATTGTGTACATTCTCTTTGACAAACTATAAAAAGTAGAGAATGGGGTAACAATTTCAAAAACCGGGCAGGGGTTTGTCATCTCCACTGAATTACCAAAAAAAGATAGCCTTTAAAAAGTAAGCACCCAAAAATAAAATTAATCTTTACTTTCGGAATTTCCACCCTAAAAATTTTACGACATAACGACCACAAATTTCCTTAAGATGCGGTTTGTAAAGGTTTCCAAGCATTATTCCTAAATAAAAAAATTGACCTTGAGTCTCTCGGCCCTATCAAACGTACGAAATACTGAGACGTGCATTCTAGAATTTCCACACGATTCTCAATAGGACTTCCAATTTCTAAAATGATTCCCTTAAGTCTCATATGAGAAAGTAAATTTAGGTGGGCGGATCTTGTGCAGCCGTAGACCTAGTACAATACTTGTTAGGAAGTGTGTGTTGGTTTAAATAGAAGGCTAAAAAAAAGAAGAGATAGGCTCAAAAGTACATGCTTAGAAGTAATAAAAAAAGATATGAGGACTTATGGTCTCAATGATGGTATGGCCTTTAACAGAGTATAATGACATATTAGGATTTATTTAATCGACTCCAAATAATTAAAAAAAGATTCTGATGATGATGATTCAAAACTTATTTGAAAGAACACAACTTAATAAACATGCATGTGATTTAGTAAAAAAAAGTCTCTTGATCCAAAGGTGAATAGCAATGATCCTCTTGACTTTAAAATATGTTCATCTCGTAACTAACAAAAATGAGGTCTTTTGGATTCAATGTTTCAATAATGAATTGATATTTTCGAGAGAACTTATCACAATTTGTGCGACAATATTCTGGCTTAGAACTTTGAACCAGTGTTTTAAAGTCGAACCGGACTCGCCCGGTTCGACTCGGAAATCGTAAAAGTGGATCGTATCGGCTAAAAAATCAGAAATCGTCCGGTTTTAGAGAGAACCGGACGATTCTATACAGTGACTCGCCGATTCACTGTACGGAATCGGCAAGTCCCGTACGGAATTTTTTTTTTTTTTTTAGTAATCTATGATAGATTTTTTGTAATACTTGATCGATTTTTTTGTAATCCATGATTGAATTGTTTTTGTTTTTTTGTAATCCATTATTGAATTTTTTGTTTTTTGTAACCCATGATAGAATTTTTTGTAATCCATGATCGAATTTTTTGTAATCCATGATCGAAATGTTTGTTTTTTTTCTTGTAATCCATGATCGAATTTTTTGTTATTTTTGTTTTTTTTGTAACTCATGATAGAATTTTTTGTAATCCATGATCGAATGTTTTGTAATACATGATCGAAATGTTTGTTCTTTTTTTTGTAATCCATGATTGAATTTTTTGTTTTTTGCTTTTTTTGTAACCCATGATAGAGTTTTTTGTAATCCATGATTGAATTTTTTGTAATCCATGATCGAATTGTTTTTTTCTCTTTTTGTAATCCACGATTGAATTTTTTGTTTTTTTTTGTAATCCATGATCAAATTTTATGTAATCCATGATCGAATTTTATGTAATCCATGATCGAATTTTTTGTAATCCATGATTGAATTTTTTGAAAATTTGTGATTTTTTTTTTTAATCAATGATCGAATTTTTTTTGTAATCCATGATAGAATTTTTGGAAAATTTGTGATTTTTTTTTTAATCCATGATCGAATTTTTTTTGTAATCCATGATAGAATTTTTTGAAAATTTGTGATTTTTTTTTTAATCCATGATCGATTTTTTTGAAAATTTGTTAATTTTTTTTTAATCCATATTATTTAAAGAGAAAATGAGAGAGATGATGATTCTGAGGCCACCCTATCCCAGCCATATTATTCACATATCGAGTCCCAATAGCAACAGTGTAGGGATGAGCACGACAGTGCAGGTGAGCATGAAGGATGGACAATCTTCGGGGATTTTAGATT